TGGGGACTCATACGATTTTCGCAGACTTCTAATAGCATGCATGCAGAGTCAATAAAAATCAGTTTTACACAATTTTGTGAAAACTATTTGCAAGACTCACTTCGTTTCTCAGAAACTGAATCCGAGCCTGCATGTTTTTGATGAACTGTCTTTGTTTTCTAACTGCATCTTTCTTTGCTGCATCAAGTTGTTCAAGTTTGGATTTAAATTCACGAAAAGATTCACGAGCCTGAAAAATTATGACCCCTCAGTGGTATACTAAATGCTTACGAATGAATGGAAGATACCGTTACTGTCGACACACATCCATCTTTTTCTGACAAAATATGCCGCAGAGATAATATTGATCGTTTGAGCGCAGCCCCTGCTCGTTCCATGTTCTAAATAAGTCTCAAAATTTCAAACTGAAAAAAAGATCGGAAACCACGTGGTAAAAGACATATGCCAAGATCTGCCTGACAAGAGACCATGTTTTACAAATAGTCCCTTCCAAAAGAAACACAAGAACAAATTACGTTTTGCATACCATACATACCTTATGACCACGTCGAAACTCCATATTGAGCTCTTCGTAGGGAACTTTGAAGGTGGAGTATTCCAAAACAGCATTTCTATCAAGTTTGACCATAGCGTTCAGGGATCAAACATTCACAAATACAAAAATATGAGCGCTGTAATATCGCAAAGCAGAGTGGATACTCAGCTTTATCCCAGAATCAGTTTAAACACAATAACGATTATGTTGATACCAATAAGAGGCACTGAAAAAAAAACATATCAGCTCCTTCTTTATTTCATAGTTTAAATCGTATTTCTTCACCATTAAATATACCTCAGGTCACTGCGACTTTCAGATCCACCTCTGATGCACTAACCCCCTTTATCTTTGTCCAACGAACGACAATGCCAAGCCCAGAAACTACCCTGGTAACTTTGAGATGTGTTTGCATGCAAGTCAACCTTTTGCATTTCATTCGAAGTGTGCTATTTACCTCTTGGACTTTCATCTGGATCAAGCGCAAAGTCGGAGTGCAATATAACCCGATGGGCCCAGCCTGCAGAAAGGGTCACGGTATGGTTGAGACTGCTAAGGAACCCTAGGCTCCGTGACCATTCATTACAACTTGGATATGACTTTATGTCCACTCGAATCGATTGCGAACGGACGACGATAGCACAGTATGGGCTAATCCATTACTGCTCACGAGTGGTGATTCTTAGCCAACTCTAATTTCTGCCTTGCCCTTCGAGACTAGCGCCCGACGTTGAAAATAGTTTGAAAACAATAACAGTGTTTAGGGCCCCTTTGCTGCAATGCAATAACAATCTGTCTTAATTTCCATAATGCCCTTACTACAATTATTTAGAGCCATAGTTTCACATCATATCCTTGACCTGAATGTATACTCTGAAGACAGGGAGATGTTTTACGATAAATACAAGAAGACGCAGTTGAAAAGACAGCCATTCTCAAAAAAGCAACACCTTTGAAGCTTTCAAGAGATCTTAGCTTTCTCTCATGCCCAACCTGGGCTTCACTTTTCATTGATTACATTACTGCATTACCTNCGACACACATCCATCTTTTTCTGACAAAATATGCCGCAGAGATAATATTGATCGTTTGAGCGCAGCCCCTGCCCGTTCCATGTTCTAAATAAAAGTCTCGAAACTTCGAAATGAAAAAGATAGGAAACCACGAGGTACAAGGCATATGCCAAGAACAGCCTGACGAGAGCCCATGGTTTTAAAAATAGCCCTTCCAAAAAAAAACACCCCCACACACACAGACAAACTACTTCTTGCATACCACACATACCTTATGACCACGTCGAAACTCCATATTGAGTTCTTCGTAGGGAACTTTGAAGGTTGAGTATTCCAAAACAGCATTTCTATCAAGTTTGACCAT